CACAAAGCATGGCCTGTCCAGCCTCACGTTAGGTGGAATTTTAGAGTGTGGCTTTGGTGGAATGCACTGTTCCCCAGAATGCTTTCTGAGGTGTCCAGGGTTCATTTCTCCTGCATTCCTCCCCAGCAAGGCTGTCATTGTTAGCAGATTTGTTTAGCTGCCTTAGCAGCTTGGGACCTTTCATTGACTTTTGAGAAGATGATATGATTTTCAGGCAGGGATGAGGCAAAAGGCAGCTAGCAGCAGCCTTACAATGGAACACCCACTGTAACTAGCGGGGAGGCAGGCTTTTGACAGGGCGTACCTGAAAGAGAAGACCTGTCTTTGCCTCAATGTGTCATCGACCACTGTCTAAAATCAATGGCAAAGCAACGTGAATCACGGACAGCCAAGGACTTATTATTGAGAAACTTTAACAGATACGGTTTCTCTGAAAGGCCAATCCCTTTCAGACAAAAAGCCATCGTCAATGAGGCTGCAATTCAGTGAAATGACAACACTCGGCTCCCAGGAGCAGCTAACCTAAAGGGAATGTGGGCTAAAGAGAAAGACTGAATAATTAACTCCCAATGTGTTACATAACCGCTTAAACTCCACCATGTGCAGACTTGTGGCTTCATTTCAGGTTTTAGAGAAAGTCCTGTCCCAGTGGCCACCCATTTTCACGTCTCCATCTCCTGTCTCCCTGGCCGCTGGACACCTATGGATTTTCTTAGAACCACAGTTCTCTCCATAATAGGAAGATTTGGTGGACATCCTGTCATACACAAAGGAAAGCCTCTGCCAGACTAAGCATTAGAACATGGTGTTCTAGCAAATATATGAAATATCGATGCAATTATAAATCGATGAAAACCCAGAGGGAAAGATAATCTCATTTGAGGGAAGATCTTTAAGTTGTTTTTTTTTATTTGTTTTGTTTTGTTTTTTTCCTTGTAATAAAAATTGGATCAGGGAACTCAATTTATAAAGTAAAAACTGTCAGCTCCGTATTTCTAGCTGTTGCTGGAGCTAAGGGAAAGAAAGCCAAATCATGCATCTAGTTTGAGTACTTGAAACGACACATTTTAATGTATTAGTTAGGGGGGCAAAACTATCTCCCTTCTTTATGTTTTTTGATTGTTACCAATATTGTTATTGTTTTAATTCTTTTTCTAATGCTTTTCTCTTATGTCCTTTTCCAAATTCAATATTTTCTCCTAATTTTGCCTTCTGTATCCCAGATAATGTTTATGGATCACCAGGATGCCTGGTGGGGTGGTAAAAGCTCATGCTGGGTTGCTTAACATATCTGATGTTACTCTCCCTACAGAACCAGATGGAGAACTGTTGTAAACAGGGCTGCAGTGTCTCCCTGAGGCACAGTGCCAAGATGAGGACTAAGTCAGAGAGGATCTTAATGGGGGTCATGTAGTAGGGTATAAAAAATTACAGAGAGCTGATTGATAGTCCATTAAAATGGGTGGGGCTGCAGCAAGCAAATGTATCACTCACCACAGCCTGGATCTGCCCTTCATCATGGGAGGGCTGTTTTATTTTATTTTATTTTAATGCAGGACTTAGCTCATCTTTGCCAGTCTCTTCTGGAAATTCTGGACTTGCTGAAGGAAGATGCTGAAGTGTGAGAGAAGGAAGGGGAGATATGTGCGGGAGAGAAATGGAAAACGGATTGAGACTGTTGGAATGCGAGAGAAATACTTTGGTTTTGACATTATTTTCCAAGAATCATAGGCACTAAGACAAAAATTTCAATCAATTATCCAAAATTATAATAAAAATGATGAGATTTGTTTCTCAAGTGATGCAAAGTTGGAAAGTATAAACATAATCACGTCATGATGGTGGGGAGGGGATAGAATCACTGTGTTATTATCTGATGCTGTGTGCCAATGTGAGCATAGTTTTCTTATTTCTTTTTATATGTCAAAACAACAACAACAAAAACCAAAACCAACACCAACACCAACTGGTGTGTTTTAAAATAATTCCTCAAGGTTAATAGTGATAACTTATATTTCATAATTTATTTAGCTGATTTCATTTACTTTTGAAATTACTCTCATGTTTTCAACTACAACTTACTTGGGATTTCTCAGAAGTTCGAAGGAGTGGAGAGTCCATGTGCTGACCCCTCACCCACTCCCACAGCCCCACCTCAGCCACCACACCTGCCCACGCGCATCACCTGCTTCTGGTTTATAACTTCATGGAAGATGAGAGGTGGTAGTTCCAGTTTGGGAAGCGACTTCAGAAATGTAGCCATTGTGGGCAAAATAAAAAGATGCTCCCCAAGTAGGGAGTTTGCTAGTACAAAGAAAAGGTAGTTTTCATCTTCTTTGTCTCCTGCTTTAGTTAGGATTTTTGTATATTGTTTTCTTTTATTAAAATTGTAGTTCAACTGTATTGAGTGATTAGAAAATATGGACTGTCAGGGGAAAAATGTAGTACCTAACAAAATGGCATATTTATAAAAAATTATAATCCACACTTTTCCTAAGAACTATAGTTAATGACTATTGTGTAGTGACTTTGGTTTAGAAAAATGTGCTTTGAATTGCTTATAGAAACTTTATAGCTATGTGAGTCCGGATGTTCCTGTAGCATAAAGTAGTATACACAACCCAGAATCTACACTAAAATTCGAAGTAAATAGATCTATCCGTAGGGTAGAGGGAAATGAAACATAAAGATTGTTTTTATATTTGTAGTTTTCGGTGGAAACATCCCTTAATGAATCCAAGCTTTGCCAAAGTCCCACTTCATGATGTTTACTTGGCTTAGGGAAATAGTATGAGGCCCATTTGCTTTGGAAAGCTGGGAAATAATTAAAACAAAGAAGTATTTGCCCCCCAAATTAAGTTTTCAGTTGTCTAGTTCTGGATTTTTTAAAAGATGATTCTGTATTCTCTGAAGTGACTGAGTCATGTATGTCAAAATTCCTCATGGAAAATGCTTTCGACATATCCTGAATTATTTAGAAGGAAGTTCAACACTTCTATTACCAGGAAGAGTATACAGGTAGCACTATACAATCAATGCAGGGTAGAATCGTAAGGTGTCCACAAAGAAGTTGGAAATATCACCTTCAATGAGTTAGTCTGGAAAAATCTACATGTAACAGATTAGATTAGCACTCTCTATGGGTAAACCAGGAGATACCTGTAAATGTAGGTATCTGCAAAGTCCTAATAACACGTAAAACACCGATTCAGGAGACTCGGAGAGAAGCAGAACTGGAATAGGATTGTGATGTAGCAATTTGAATTTAACCAATTTTATGATACACTTTTATAGGAAGACAATATCCAAAGAAGGGAGATGGTTAGCCAGGAATAATTAAAAAGAAGTGTCAAGAAGTATTATTTGTCAGAACATCTCCAGGACTCCCTAGTCTTTATAGTTCGATGACACTTCTCAAGACCATTTACCTCAAGCAAATTACTGATCATAATTTAGTTTCCCATGATGTCTTACAGGAGAAGAATATCTGACTAGTTGGTGCAAACTTTCTGGTCTTTTGGGGAGATTTTTTCTCTCTTTGCAGATCAATAATTGACTTGCTGGCTCTTAATGGTTTGATTAGTGGGAGTTGGTTCTCCAAGCCAGATCACTTCTAGGTGCAATGATAACATTGAGTTTTAATGTAAGTGCTGGAGGCTTCCATGACATTAACACTATTTCATCTTGCCCTGATCGCTGCGTGTTCTCTAGCCCAGTTAAGTGGTTTCCCAGTGAAGAGAACAGACTAAGAAAAAAGCTGGGGTGGCATAAAACAGTGTTTGAGAAAATTCAAATGCAAAGGGAAAAGAGATTGTGAGATGAAAATATTCAATAAATTAAAAAAAGAAAATAATTTTTATTGTACTCTTTATATTTTTAATATATTTTTATATTTCCCATGCTACGTACAATGAAAATACATTGCAATTGGAATGTCAAAATAAAATAAAATGATAATCTATACTAATAAAAGGGTACTATGCTAATTAGACTGGACATCTTCCGGACATCCTTCTGGAAGTCCTTCTGGACAAAGCAGAGGCGCATAGGGGTGACCAGGCTGGCAGGGGAGGGCAGTTAGGGCTGACCAGGCAGGCAGGCAGAGTGGTTAGGGGCGATCAGGCAGGCAGGCAGGGCAGTTAGGGGCAACCAAGCCAGCAGGGGAGGGCAATTAGGGCTGAGTGGTTAGGGGTGATCAGGCAGGCAGGCAGGTGAGCAGTTCAGAGCCAGCAATTCTGGTTTGTGAGAATGTCACACCCCTGCGGGATCTGGCCTAAACTGGCAGTCAGACATATCCCAAACGGGCCCGGAATGGAGAGGGTGCAGACCGGGCTGAGGGACCCCCCCTCCTGTGCATGAATTTCATGCACCAGGCCTCTAGTATTAAAATTTTAAAAAAAATGGAATATTGATGCTTGATCCTTTCTAGTTCTTAATCATCCTGACCTTATGGTTAGACTGGCATCCCTTTGAGTGATTCAGATAGAATTAACATTTGGGGTCTAGTACGCAGGTACTGTGGCAGGCATTTTACACATTGCATTTCATGGAATTTGTTTGATCAAAAACTGGTCAACTCAATTAAAGCAGTATGTAGGAGGACTATTTTCCTTTAATCTTGAAACTTAAATGACCTCAAAAAGACTAAGTAATATATTTTCCCTTTTTCCCAACCTCCACAAAATAGAATATCAATTAATTACTTACTTTATTTTATTAGTTTTTACACAGGAAAAACAGTGATCCCGGCCGGTGTGGCTCAGTGGTTGAGTGTTGAACTATGAACCAGGAGGTCACAGTTTGATTTTGGTCAGGGCACATGGCCTGGCTTGTGGGCTTGATCCCCAGCGCCTGCAGGAGGCAGCCAATCGATGATTCTCTCTCATCATTGATGTTTCTACCTCTCTCTCCCTCATCCTTTCTCTCTAAAATCAATAAAAATGTATTTAAAAAAATAAAAAAAACACAAAACTGAAAGATCTGGATCCTTTATTTTACAGGGATGGCTGGTGTGACTCCTCAGTGGACTCTGCCCTGAAGAGGTGATGTGTTCTCCAAAGGGCCCAAGTTGGTATCCCAAGAGCCTCAGCAAAGGGACTGTGTTCTCCCCCTATCAAGCCAAGAAGTAAGTTTTCCTTCATCCTTTCTTTGTGTCAAATATATTAAATTAATGAGGTTTTTAAAATGATCTTCATCAAGTTTGGTCAAGGTCCTTCTTCCCTCTGTTTAGATGACTTGATCTCTCCAGGGCTATTGTCTTTTGTTTCACATGCCGGAAGGTGGAGGTCCATCTTTGCTGCAGGCTTTAAGGTTCTCTTTGAGTCAAGCTGGTTTATTTCGCATCCCTACTGTGTACTTCTATATAGACAGATCCTATTCTAGGTACTGACTGACCTCTTGGTGAGTTTGTCAGTTTATGTTTTACAAAACCCTTTAAGGTAAAACTATATTTATAGGGAAAGGAGACCAATAATATATTCTTAATCACTTTGTCTTAATGAGTGTGGCCTCAATTATGGCAATTTTTAAAAACATAGCTTTTGAGTTGAAGGGTTTGTTTTTTTTAAAAAATAAGACTATTCTTGTGTGTGGTGGGGGGGCGGGGGAAGCACAGAATAATTTCGTTCTGACTCTGAAACACAGTCAAATTTAAATAGCACTGATGTAATAGAACTATTGTGGTTTGGGACTCAGAGATCTGTGTCATCGGTGGCTTTGCTCTTCAGTGATATCAAGATTACTACAACTCTCTGCTTCTACAAAGGTGGGACTGAACTAAATTATTTTTTAAAGATATTTAGCAATTTTAAGACTTTTTAAGCTACTTTCATATGGCAAAATCCTTTTATGTATAAATTAAAATTATTCTGAAGTTACAATTTTCTAATGTAGAGGCATCATTACAGTCTACAGATACACTAGTATGGAACGGCATAACTATCTGGAACTCACATGCTGTAGGTATAATAATAAGCTCTAATGAGCTTCAAATAGCATCAGTGAAAATGTTTTTGCAAAGGCACACCCTCTTATCTTTTATTGCAAAAATGCTGTCCAATATGAATGTAATAAGAGCCATGTATGTAATTTAAATGTTCCAATAGTAGTCACATTAAAAAAAGTTAAAATATGTGAGATTGCCCTAGCTGGTTTGGCTCAGTGGATAGAGCGTCGGCCTGCGGACTGAAGGGTCCCAGGTTCGATTCCAGTCAAGGGCATGTACCTTGGTTGCAGGCATATCCCCAATGGAGGGTGTGCAGAAGGCAGCTGATTGATGTTTCTCTCTCATTGATGTTTCTATCTCTCTATCTCTCTCCCTTCCTCTCTGTAAAAAATCAATAAAATATATTTTTTTAAAAAATAGGTGAGATTAACTTTGCTACTATATTTTATTTAACCTGATATATCCAAACTATTATTTCTTCTACATATAATTAATATAAAAAATTTGATGAGTTGGATATTTTGTATTCTTTTTTTTAACTCAGTCTTAGAAGGCTGGTGCACATTTTAAACTCAGAGCATACCTCAATTTGGATTAATCACATTTCAAGTGCTCAATAGCCACGTGTGGTTAGCGGCTACCATATTTGACAGTGCCAATTGAGATAAACTACTTTATTCTAATCATCACTCTAAAAACTATATATTAAAATATGTATTTAAAAAAACCCACCATAGCTTTGTGTTCAACTGAATTTCAGTTAATCTTTTGAGAAGACTGTTTGCTCAGGTTTTGACAATATGACCAGTTTCACACAGCACAAACTGCAGGGACGTCAATCACCTTTTAGAGAATGTAGGTTGTGCAACGAATCCCAATTATCCAGCTTCCATGACAGGAGCGGTGATGGCTTTGCCTGGAATTTCAAAAATGGACTCAACTTGAAAGTGACATATTTCATTGTGCTCATTGCAAAACTGATGCCCTATCAGAAAACCTATTTTTCCACTGCCTCTAGAACATTGACCACTGCAAACAGATTTACAGAGGTTTCACATATACCGCAGACAGTTCTCTCTGCAAGCCCCAAAGCAGAAAAAAAAAATTCATCCAGACTTATGCCTTCTTGCAAATATTTTGCACAACATTGTATTCATAGCTTGAATAGAGATGTTACGTAATAATTAGCTTTTTGAGTTAAAACATTTAAACATGATTTTCGTCCTTTTATTTTGCACCAAGTTTATATTTTAAAATAGAAATATGAGCTGTTTGGGGAAGGGCTAGAACTAGGTTTGAATCTGATTTAATATGTGTTGAAATCTCCATTCAAGAGGTCCACGTCAATTAAACAAAGATTGTCTCTGTGAAATGTCTTTTAAGAGGAGGCATTTTACAAGGAAACATGCTTTCCTCACCAACTTTCCAAATGTGACTGAGTCACACAGCTTAGATTTATGTCAAGTTCTTTGTAGAGCTTTAAACTTAAGACAGACCTTTGGAATGAATTAGCCTTTGCTTTACAGGTATGTGGAGAGCTTACAATGAAAGGCAAATGTAATGAATCCAGTGAGGAAAGACATCAGGATCTCAACCCTTGAGTCCTGATCCAGTGCTGGTTTTAAGACCTTAAATTCTTCAAGCACTTGATCTTCTCAAAGAGGTTATGGAGTTTCAGGATGCTTACACATTGAAGAGTTAAGCAGATATAAGCTGGTGTCATGAACCTTTAGATTTTTTTTCTAGTCCAGCAATTTCTTTAAAAATTTTTTAAAATATATTTTTATTGATTTCAGAGAAAGGGAGAGGGAGAGAGATGGAAATATCAAAGATGAGAAAGAATCATTGATCGGCTGTCTCCTGCACACCCCCTACTGGGGATGGAGCCCACAACCCGGGCATATACCCTGACCAGGAATTGAACAGCGACCTCCTGGTTCATAGGTTAACACTCAACCACTGAGCACACCGGCTGGACTCTAGTCCAGCAATTTCTAACTTGAGTGCCCTGGCCAACTGTGCTGGAATCATCTATGCTGCTGATCAAAATATGGTGCTGGCTTCTCTCTTTACCTTCAGATCAGGATCTCAGGGGAGGTTTGGTGATTGTCATTTTTATCAAAGCATATAGGTGACCTTCTATACAGTTGGGATGGAGAAGCACCCCCCCCCCAATCTTGTGTTCTTCAGCTGAGAAAATAGGAAATGAAAGAATTTCAAGTATTTGCATCATAGCTCAAGGTCAGCCAATGTCAGGCTTGGTATCAGAGCCCATCTGAACTTTCCTCTAAATAACTCTGTCTCCCCTAATACTATTCTATACCACATGCTGAACTAATTAAAGGGGGGTGGGGAAGAACATATTTTAGATGCATTTTCAACAATAATGATTTAAAAATATATTTTGCTTGAAATAAAATTAACCAGATTCCTTTTAACCCAGTTATTCTTTAATCAAGCTTTTACTATTAAACTTTGCAATAACATTCTTCAGACACTTTTACAAGCAAGTTTTCCTAAGCCCTCCTTCAGTTTTTAAGGTATATGAGGTTTAAGATAATGTAAGAAGATGCTCGTATATTTTTCTGTGGAAGTTGGAATCATTTTGGTAGGTTTATGTAAATTTTATGCAAATCAAACACAGTTTATGCCCCAAACATTATGATGATCATAACTATTTTATGCACCAAAAGTTGGCCTTCAGGAAGATCTTGCTGAGGACTGATGTTCTATGCAGCCTCCTTCTGCCTGGATTTTTGTGACATTTATCATCGTCCTACTTGGAAACTAAAAGACTTGCAGTACGTGAATAGAGGGCTGAAATATGACCCTCTTTTCCTCCAACCTAGGCTAAACTCTCACTTCAAACATTTGGGGGCTGACTCTGTGGAGTTTCCTTTCTAATTCCCCAGTACTGCTCATCTTGATTCATTTATGCCACAAAGTAACAGTTGTTTAGATTACAATTTTATTGAGTAAAAAGACACACTCTAAGATGTATGGAAAACATGACTAAATTTTATTAGATTTAAGAGTGACTGTTTGCCAACAGCTAAATTTAGAAAGAATAAGTTCCTGACAATGCAGCTTGAGAGAATATTTTAAGAGGTGATGATTTCATTAATTTCCAGAGCCTTATAGCCAGCTGGCAAAGGTTTTTCTATACCATTGTGGCTTGCCTTTGAAATTACTTTCTTTTCCTAAATTAGCCTGTTTGAGTTAAAATGACACACTAGCAATAATAATAAGATAAAATTGACCTCTTTGTATAATCTTCAAGTATCTTGGCTAACTTAAATAATAGTACCTGAGTTTATAACTGCTGCAGTGTGCTATGTAAAAAGAGATTGGTATTAGGGACATTTATTGATCCTCATATTAGTTTTACTGGCAGATAAATAACACATAAAAATGAAATCATGTACACAGAAAGCAGAAAAAGACTTCTAACCTTAAGAAGGAATTTCCCATTTACATCTCCAACATCTAGTTGTCTCACTTGTGATGGTAGAAAGAGCCCTAAGCTTGGAGCCAGAGGATCCAGTTTCAGAAAATGGTTCTGCCACTTTACCTATGTGAGTTTCTGTCAGTAACAGAACTTCTCTGAGCCTCAGTTTCCTCATCTCCAAAATGGAGATATTAATGCTAATGTTGCCTTCTTCACATAGTATTATAATAATAAAATAATAAATGTGAGTAACAAGAGGAGAAACTTCACTCCCCAGAATTCTAAGGAGTTTGTCTCATGGAGAGAAAAGAAGTCAGAGAGCGTGGTTAGAATGTAGGATATTGTATATGCATCCTACAGTGTGTGCAGGGGAGTGTCCTGGATCAGGTCAATCATGTCTGAACAGCAGGAGGAAAGGAGAGCACAGGGGAAAGGGGGTCTCCTTGGTGCTGTGAGCACAGCACTCCCAGGAAAGAAAGGTTTAGAGAGAAGTTTCTATTCTAATATATAAAAACCTAGGGTCTGTATCATCCAAAACAACCAAAGGCTTGACCAACCGGAAGTCAGTGCTGGGTTGCCATGGGTGACTGCCAAGGGGGCTGCGAATCAGACCCGAAGAGAGGCCTGGAGAGAAAAGCAGGGTCTGATCTGTAGCCTCCATGGCAGCTGTTGATTAGCACTTGCCTCTCTTGC